CAAGCGTAAATTTTAGAAAGTTCCAATAACGTTGCCAGTAGTTATTTTTAGCCTAAAAAGTACAAAGAGAGCAATCTGTATTTTATATTTTTGGTAAAAGCTTTTCACTTTTGACACTTTTTTCAATTGACAAATTCACAGAAAGAACTGATTGGTAAAAAAAAGTAATAGTTATGGGAAAATCTCAGACAACCTGAATATTCCATGTACTACCAATAAATCATTCAATACAAGGTATAAAAACTCAAAACTATTGAATGCCAAAGAAGAACAGGTGCTGCCCGGAAGATTTCTTCTCGATCATCGAGGAAATCAATGCGCCATATTAATTGTAATCTAAGGGTTACTCGTCAAGGGTTGCAGGATCATTTTCTTTCAGCAGGAATTTGTGTCACTAAACGGACAATAAGTAATGAAATTCAAAAGAATAATCTAAAGTCACCCTCCATTCGGAAAACTCCATGTTATTGAAAAACACAGAGATGTCAGGTTGAAATTCTATCGTGAATATAAGGATAAGGAAACATCGTATTGAGAAAGAGTATTATGGACAGATGAAAACAAAATGAAGTTGTTTGAACGTAATTCCAGAAATCATGTTAGGAGGAAAGATTGCGATGCCTTCAAATGAAAGCTGACAGTTTTAACAATTAAATTTTGTGGTGACAACATCATGGTTTTGGGGATGATTTTCTGCAAATGGTACTGGCAACATATGAATAAGGAGTTGGTAGAATGAATGCGGCAGCATATCAAAATATTTTGGAGGCAAATTTAATGATTTCTGTTGAAAATCTTGGACTTCCGCCTGATTGGATCTTCCAAGCACACTGCAAAATGTACCAAAAACAGTTGAAATGCATAAATCAGACCACAGATTTAAACGCAAACTAGGGCGTTATTTGAAAATTCAAATCCAACCGAGAGCTCCATTTAAATCCCGAACCTGAAGACCATATGCGAAGAAGAATGGAACAAAATACCAACTAAAATTTGCCAATTATTATTAAGAAGTGGTTGGTTGTTGTAAAAGTGAATAATGGCAATTCTACAAATTATTAAATGAAGTTTATGTACCCGTTATTGTACGAAAAATTTTTTCACCCATTAAAATGGAAAAAAAAGATTTATTTCAAGCACATCATTATTTCTGTTTTCTATTATTATATGTTTTCTATGGACAGATATATATATATATATATATATATATATCTCAATCGACGGATTATATATATATATATATATATATATATATATATATATATATATATATCTGTCGATATATATATATATATATATATATATATATATATATATATTTAACAATTAAAAATTAAAAAAAAAAAAAAATTAAAATCTTTAGACACACTGGGTTGTAGATTAATATGCTTTCGTTTTTTTTTTTAATTATTATTCCATTTAAATTCCTCGACTAGTTTCGACCAACATGGCCATCATCGGGAGGAGACATATTTCTGCTTGCTGGTAGCACTAAACTACAGAAATGAATGTCTTTTGCTGGAGAAAATGAACTTTTGTCTGTAGTTTTCATTTGTTTTTTTATTTTTTTATCTTTTTCACATGAATCTTTTAACATTCCTTGTGTTGGTCAAACAGTCTCTTTTAAGTTGTTATTTGAGATAAGAACTGGATAGATACATTTTATCCTGAATTCTCTGGTCAGTTTGACAGTTTTATTGGACCTGGTGAGAGGATGTGTCTCTGTTTAGTGTTTGTGTGTGTGTTATTTGGTTCTTAGGGAGTGAGTGAGTATGATATGTGTAAGCGTGTGTATTGCTGTAGGTGTGTGTTATCATTTGGCTCATTAGGGAGTGAGTGAGTATGATGTGTGTAAGTTTGTATATTCGTGTGGGTGAGTGTATAAGTGTGAGGCCTCCACACCTCCGTAAGCATGTCTGTCTTGTGTGGGTGAGAAATGTGGGTAGGTTTTGATTTGTTGAGTTATATATTGATACTATCTATATATTGTTAAATTTATGATTTAGCCCGGCTGGATATTTTGTTTTTAGACGTTGTATCCACTTATTTTCATGGGACTCTAAAATCTTTCTAATGTTATCTGCTCTGAACTTTTCTATTGTCTCAATTATAGTGAATTTGGCATGGGTTTTGAAATTATGTTTTTCCAGGCGGAAATGTTGTTCTACGGGTAATAATTTTTCATGGGGAGTCGACTTAATTCGCTTACGATAATTATTAATTCTGTAGTGAAAGGGCCATTCAGATTTTCCTACATATTTTTTCTGGCATAGTGTGCATTATAGGAGATAAATTATGTTATGACTTCTTCTACAGTTAGAATCGTGGTAGATTTTGAAAGTAGATTTAGTGATTGAGCTAGTGAATGAATTAGTGTTTTTTTAATATGGTTTGCAACATAAACTTCTTTTGTTGTTACATGGTTGGGAAAAATCCTGTTGTTTTTGTTCTTAGTTCATTACTGATTACCTTGTCCCCTAAAAAAATGTGGTTACTACCT